GCACTCCTCACGTCCACTCTTCAGCATAGTCAGAGGCGGTGATGCTTCTGAGCGCTAGGCCCCACTCCTCTGTCTCTGTGGTCCTCAGATTCGAGCCCTCTTGTTTGCACGTGACGACAGCTCTCACCAGGTTGAGTTGAGAAAGGTGTCAGAGTGACTGCTGACCAGCTAGCTCACGACTCTCCTTTGACTCCAGTTAGAGACTGGTCCTTTATTTGTGTGTGACCCTGAAGGAACAGAGAAAGGCTCAAGTACGTGCTGAGTTGAAAAGCCTCCCTTGGTCCTTAGGTGGACAGGGTGGAACAGGGGAGCAGAGAATGTGCCCCCAAAGTTAGGACTACACAAGGAACAATACATGACTAAACATGTATGTATCTAATGGATAACTTTGGAGCATGTCTGTCTGATCATTTGTCTGTAATGTGCCGTTTAATATGAAACTTAAGCGATTAGTATCAGACCCTGTAGAATAGAGCTTTGCATGTTTTTAAAAATACCTTTCAAAATAAGTAAATAAATAAAAATACCTTCAGAATCAGGAAAAAGTTAATACGTACTTATTGGGGCGGGGAAATAAAGGAGTATAAAGAAGAAAGCAAAAATCCCATCATTCCAGCACCTATACAGTTACAATTTCACTTTATTTCTAGAGTCTGTTTATTGTAGTAAGCGTATTGCTTTACTAGATTCTTGAGGCTTCGGACACCCCAGGCATGTAACACACAAGCATCTGAAACCTTTTCTTCTTATTCCAAGTCATGTATGTGTTACTCAAGTGTGTGTTTGAACCTCATGGATTCCTATTCTGATTTCTGGACCAAACTTCTGAAACGAAGGACAAATGAGCCACTCTTGGTCCTTTACAAAATGGGAATCCTAGGGCTCGATAGGAATAGGACTCTCTGAGCTCAGGCATTTCCTGTGAGGTCCCCAGAGCAGCCATCTTCCTCCTGAGAAGACCTGACACCCTAAGCTCACACCCTAAGCTCAAGGATCTCAAAAGGTGAGCTCCCAGCCCCAACTCCACCCCACCCCCATCCCCACGCCCTGCTGACAGTGCCTCTGCATTAAAGGGGGCAGCCTAGTAGAAAGAAAAGAAAGAGTCTATGTTAGACGGCTTTAAAGACACGAGCTACTTTAATATTTTAAAGGACAGAGGAAGCCTCCTCCCCTTAGGCCTGTTTACAGTTCATGCCTGACATTTAAAAGAGGAAAAAGCCCAAATGAAAACATTGATTTTATATATATATATATAAAATTATATATCAAAACATTGATATATATAATGTGTGTGTACACAAACATGTATATTGCATATAATTTATAGATATATAATAGATAAAATTGATATACATACAAACATTATTTGTAGATATAATATATATGTGTATCTCATGCTAAATTAAGTTTTTCAGAACCACACTTAGAAAAACATCAAGCATATTCTTGCCTTATTTACTTGCAAAGCTTAAACTAGTTTGGAGCATTCTATGGAGATTTGGCTGTTTTCCTAAAGTTCATCTATAAACAAACGACAACGTAAATATACAGATTACTCCGAAGTTGAGTTTTTACATGATTTTTCTTTGGTAGTAATTCATGTGAATTGCACATACCAAATTAACAGGTGAAGGTTGGAGGATTTATTGCTGCTGAAGTTAACAGCAAGCTGACCATAAATTGCTAGCAGATGTTTTTCCTTTTTTGCCCCTGAGGAATTTTTATAGGCAACAATTTATTTCTTTTTACGGAGGTTGACGGACGGAGAGAAAGACGAGAAACGAAAACAAACTCTCTAGAAATGTATGTCTCAGTTTCCACCAGCGTTGGAACGTTCTGAATTCTTATAGAGTTGGTCTTCAAAAGTTTAGAAAATAATCATAGAACCCCCACCCCCACCTCGCATTTTCCAGATTAACTCGAGCAGATTTTCCTATACAAAACCCTTAAGACAATCATGGGGAGGTTTTTTAAAACGTGTATTTAGTCTAAACCTTAACTAAAGATTTTCTTTTTTTCTTTTCAGCAAGAAGATCCTTATAGAAAGAAGAAGCTTCAGGAGAAGAAAGAAGGGAATTTACAAAATTTAAATTGGAATAAAAATCGAACGTGTAGAAAAAACAAGAAAAGGGGTTCTGCTCCGGTCTTGAGGTGTGTTATTTTACAGTCCCTTTAAAATTTTGATCTATTTTTACTCTGTGATTTTACATTTAGCTATTTAAACCTTAATTTTGTCATGTTAGATACAGATAATAGATCGTGTAGGAGTGTTTGTCTTTTGAGATAAAAGTATGGTCTTAAAATTCATGTTTTCTGGTTATGTTCTCATTTATTCATTTATTACGAACAGATTTTTCAGATTTTTACTTTATAAAACGCTAAAAGCTATGGGAGGTTTTAGAGAAAAAGCATAAGACATCTACACCAGGACCTTCATTCTGCCTGTGAAGTGCAGGAGCATTAGTGAAATAGGCAGCACAGAGCACCCCTGGACACAGGCAGGCACCCTGTTCCCAGCTTGACCCTGACCCATCCGGGGTTCTGATGAAAGCGACTAGTCACCACTCAGGGAGGCCCCCATGGTCAGTGCTGCAGAAGGTGGGTTCTTGCAGCTGCTGGGAGTGAGGTGCTCAGACATGACCTGGTTTGCTCGCAGCCCCAGCGTGGGTGAGGGTAAGGACCTGGAACCAGGCTGCTGTCACTCTGCTGTGGACACCTAGTCTCCCTGAGCTCTTATCTCATCGGTAAAATGAAGGAGCTGGGTAGTGTTTATGTGCGAATCCCATATTTCCAGGTTTCCAGAAATCTCTCAGTCTAATTTTATGTAAATTGCTCAGCTTGGTCTTTTTTCTCCAGGTCAGTCGTGTGTATGTTCTGACTCCAGGTCCATCTGTTGGGAGAGTCTCTGAATTCTGATTCCTTAGGTTAGACCTACGGCAGCCAAATACACTCATGAGCCGAGAGCCTCCAGCGGACACTCTCCCCTGCCTCTCCCTCCCTGGGGCGTGGATGGAGGTGTCCTTTGCACTCTGTGTCCCCTTCCAGGGCCCCAGTTCAGGAGACTTAGTCCCAGCTCCTTGACTTCTGTATGCTGCTGTCGGGGTGTTTAGAGCCTGTTTCCTCCCACCAAGTAATCCCTCCATCCTCACCAGTCTGCCTTTTTCTTCTTTTGAGTCGTGACATCTGGAGAGCTCTCTTCCTTGTGAGCTCAGCTGGGTATTTAGCTATGTTCCATCCAGCTGTTCTCTGGTGGCTCCAGGTTTGCGTGGGGACAGTTCCACCTTGTTGCGTGTATACTTGTTGGAAGGAAACCCTGAACAGCCCGCATTGTGGCGAAGCCCACCAATGGGAAGGATGTGTGTGCCATTCACAGCCTCTGTCCCTAGGTCCCCAGGCGGTGGCAATCTGGAGCTCAGACTCCAGGACTCAGCACTATAATGAGCCCTCCTGCAGTTGGCACAGGCACCCCGAGCAGGTCAGGCAGCTCCAAAGGGATATTCATGTCCAGTTCAGCCGCCAGCTCAGCCCCCAGCTCGCGGGGAGCAATCAGGAAAATGCAGAGACGAAAAAAAGAAATATACTTATTGTTATCTTGTTGTTAATACTCAGTACTGATCGTTGATTGGTAATTATCCTTATTTTGGCCAAAATTACTTAGGCTAAATTATTTGAAAGTTGCAATGCGGTATCCTATAGAAAGGAAGTTTAACCCTTGTATTTTACGTGTATTTTCATAAAAACTTGATTGACTTATGAGGTCACTTTAAAGTTTTATATTTTCCTGATATGAACCTGAGTGGAATTTCAACAATTCATTGTTACGATATATATTTAAAAGCAGATTTCTGACATGCTGAAGAAACAAGTTCTTAAAATATAATTTTCCGCTGGCTTATAGCATATCGGCATGTTTTAGGAACATGACGCTTACGAAGGAGGAGGCTGGTGGGTTGTCTGTTTCCTTGGCTCTTGTCTTGCTCCAGCTCTTTACCTGAGCTGTCGGAAACCAGCAACATTGTGTGCTGCATCTCACATATTTGATCTTTTTTTTTTTTTTTTAGTTCAACCCTTGGTGATCTCACAGGTTGCAAAGACCTTGTCAGCTTACCGTCCCTTATTTTTTATTTTTTTATGCCTACAGTGCCTGATCTCCCTAGGTGGTCTCCCATCCGGGTACTAACCAGGTCCAACCCTGCTTTTCGCTTCCAAGATCAGATGGGATCGGGCGTGTTCAGGGTGGCATGGCCGTAAACTACATATCTGATCTTCTTAACTGCAGTCTTACAAACCGAACATGAGGACTGAAATTGGACTGTGTGAGATAATCATCTAGGTATCCCATAGCTTTCTCCCCACGTTTCTGTGTCACCGTTTACAAAATCGTGTGACAGTTCTTCCCTCAAGGAGTTCATGGTCTAGTAAGAGAGAGATCGTTATTGGATGGTGAGCTCTTTGGGGGAAGAACTTTATTCTTTGTAGACACAGCACCTTCCTAACCATGGCACGTGGTAGTCACCCATCAAATGTCTGCTAAATGAGTGAATGAGAAGAGGCTTAAGCACTGGGTACCCAGGTTCACCTGCCGAGGATCATATTTTACACTAAACCAAGCGAGAAAAGTCAGGCGTCCTGCATTGTGGTCCTGGACCTGCCACTTGCCAGTTGACCCTGAGTGACTCATTTAACCCTGTGGAGTTTTATTCCTCTCACTGTAAAACACGAAAATAGAATAAGTGAGCTGCAGATTAATCCTAGTTCTAAAAGAGCACAGTCTTTTTTTTTTAGGTATCTCTCTTTTCCTCACCATCTTCTCCCATCAGACCCAAATTGAAGAAGTCTCATGTTGTCCCGGATTTATATTTTTACCTCTAATGAGTCTCCTGGAAAGCGATATGTATGTAGATGCATGATAACATGCGGATGTAATTTTTTTGTGGCTCTTGCAGGCCTTCTGAACAGAGTGAATTAAAACTTGTGTGCGGTGAATTTGAAAGGTCCGAACTGAGCAGGGACATCGATGTAAGAAACTGGTGTATAGAGGAAACCCCTGGAGAACTGTGTAAAACGGATGCCGGCGTCGGAAGGAGCTTGCCTGCTGCACAGAGAGAGGCAGGTATGTCAGCATGCCGAGCTCCGGATGGTGGCGCTTCTGCTGGAGCTCGTTTCCTCGAAGAAGTATCCAGTGCCGGAGAAGTGGTGTCTTGATGCCATTATCACTTTCTGGGTAACTTAGCTTACTAAAGCCCAACTGGAAAGGTGTCGGGATGAGACGAGAAAGCTGATTCTTTGGAGTCTGGTCAAGCCTCTAGTGTCGCCCCCTCACCCTCCCCCCTCCACTAAATCGGGCCCTTGTCAGCTGTCCTCATGCAGATTGCCGAAGGAACAAGTGTTGCTTGTCCTAAAGAATAGACAAGTGAGAACAGCGGCTATTCTCACACACCTGAGCCAGGTGGTTCTTGCAGAGCCAGGCCACTGTCCCACCCACGGACTGCTGGGCACGTCCCTGGGAGTGGGAGATAGAGTGTTAGGTCCAGGTCCAGGGCAAGGCAGAGCATGGCAGGAGGCTACATAAAGGGCCACTGAAGTTGGCGGTACATGTTGGGTACAAGACGGGGGGCGGGTATAATTTTCCAGCCCAGCGCCCACTGTCCCAGACACCTGTCCACAGCAGCACACAGGCCGGTAGAGTGAATGGGTTTCTGTCTTCTTCTCTCGTTCATTCCTTTGACACGTGTATTGGTTTTTGGTCTTCGTGGAGGTTCTTCCCACTCACACATATATATACTTTGAAGTTCTTAGTAGGTATCTTAATAAAAGAGAGGGGGAAGTTACCTACAGATCTCCAGTTAATAGAGTAGCCTCAGTTTTCTTGATAAGAGTGTTTGTTATTCCCAGACCATTTTTAGACCAAGGTTATCATTGGTATTCACAAGCTTTGTTGCCCATCCCATAGGCAGAGGAGACGTAGCTTGTCCCCCACTGTTTCTTAGACACCCATTATTACTCATCAGATGTGCAGGGGTAGCTGACTGAAGTTAAGCCTTGCCTTCAGGATCATGCCTCTCCCTTGACTAGAAATGGCATCAGGTTGAAACTGGGTGAAACGTGGTCCCCGTGCGTGGCTTCAGCTCTGCTCTCTTCCTCCTGCAGAGGGTTACTTCCAGCAGCCCGGGAAGAAGTGTGCGGAGAAGTCTTGCTCGGAGTCCAGCTCGGACTGCGGCAGCTCCTCGGGAAGCGTGCGTGCCAGCCGGGGCAGCTGGGGCAGCTGGAGCAGCACCAGCAGCTCGGATGGGGACAAGCAGCCCGTGGTGGGCCCTCGGCACTCCCTGCCAGCCGGTGGGTCCTGGGGACGAACCTGGGCACTGTGCCCTGGCCCCTCCGACCAGCAGTGACACCTATAAAAGGTCTCGTCTGAGAGACCAGAGCACAAGAACCTAAATGAAGTGCCCGTGTGTGACTTCAGTCCACCCGTCTCAGCCTTTTCGCATCATCAGCCCCCTCCCCCAGGAGCCTTAGAAGCCACTGTTTTCTGTAGACTTCCGTAAAACTTTAGTACCCCTGAGATTCACTGTGATCTGTCTATCACTGTGTACCGTGCATAAAAATAAGATTTTCTCAACTCCCAAGAAACAAACCAGTCCTGTCCCCTCCAGGGGACACTGTCTCCCACGTTGAGAGCATAGGGACATAAGTGAAGGTGGGCACTCTGCATTCTGTCGGTAATGGGGCTGGCTTTCTTGGCCAGAGGAAGCTTGGTTTTCACGGCCTGCACCGAGCACAGCTCTACCCACTACTGAAGACAAGGCTTTTCTAAGGATGCTAATGCAGTCTTAAAAATTCGGTAGTTAGCATTAACAAAATATGGAAGTACCGCTTTTGTTTGGAGGGGAAAGGCTGACAGAAGGATGATAAAAATTTGAAGGTTATGTATCAGGAAAATGTCCCTAATATAATCAATGGCATATAAGACCAAAAAGGCAAAGTAAACATGAAGTATGACCCCAATTTTATACATATATGCACACATGAAAGAGATGGTAAGGAAATATATCTGAATGTTGATAATGGTAGTATAATTGCAGGTGACTTATATTTTTCTTCTTTAAACTTTTGTTTATTTTTATAGATTTCCTACCATGAACAAAAGTTATTTTTATAAACTTGAGGGAGGTGTGTGTGTGTGTGTGTGTGTATAGAAAAATTTCTTTCATCAGAAAAATCCCTATTAAAAACTTAAATGGTTAACGGTTTTAGCTTTTTCTCCATAATTAAAACATTATTAAGACAAGATTAATAAATTTAAGTTTTGGGTTTTATTAAGTCTTCAATGAAAAGATAAATTATTTAAAAAAAAATTTTTTTTAAATTCACTGAATGTGTGAATATCAGTTTAAAGAGATAAATCTCTCAGTAGGAGTTAATGAGATTAACCATCTGCATTATAATAATACTGTAGTTGAATTATGTGTGTAAAAGTCTGTGATAATTTTTTTTTTATATGCAGGAGACGCTGTTTCACAAAACAACTTTCCTTCAGAAACCCCCATCTCCTTGAACCTTTGTCATAACATCTGCAATCCCACGTAAGATTTTAACTTTCCAGCTTTTCCAGTAGGTTTTATGTGCTGCTTTTTCTACCGGCGTGTTTCTTCTTTATACTTGGTTCTGCAGGTTCCAGTATGAAAACTTTTTTTTATTATTCTTTTTATTTATTTATTTATTTTTAGGAGAGGCAACCCTTGGTTGACCTCACAGACTGCAAGGACCTTGTCAGCTTCCAATCCCTTATTTTTTAAAAATTTTTACACCTACAGCACCTGGTCTTCCTAGGTGGTCTCCCATCCAAGGACTAACCAGGCCCGACCTTGTTTAGCTTCCGAGATCAGACGGGATCGGGCGTGTTCAGGGTGGCATGGCTGTAGACCCCGAAAACTTTTTGCAGGGATGCGAGAAAGTAAACTCCGATTTTACTAATAATTCAGCAAGCAGGATGCTTCCAAATGAACATGGTTCATGTTAGGGTGTCTCCAGTATTAACCAGTCCTTTCTGGAATGTCACCAAGTTAGAAAACCCCACATCCTGAACGCAGGAAGAAGAAAGCGTAGTTATTATAAGGAAGGACATCATTAACCCTTTGCTGGGATTTGAAATAAAGTTAAGCATTGATGATTTAGGAACTTTCGCAAGAACCTAATGGATAGCACATGTTTACAGTCGCACGGTCTGATGACAGCTGCAGCGTCGGACAGAGAAAACCAGAGCCTTTAACTGAGTGGGCGAACAGGAGGGTCTGCGAGAAGGGAGAGGCTTTCAGACCGAGGAACGTCATTAGGTTGCTTAGGCGCTGGCCATGTCCTGAGAGGACAGGAAGATGTCATTAAAATCGAATTGGGGAGTTTGTGAAGTAAAAAAAAAACTCAGCCAGAGACAAAGAAAGCTCTGTGTGAACGGGTTTCGTTCCGGGTAGAAAGTAAACCAGGGATTAAGAATTGCCACCAGCTGGTGGCAGGTAGATATGAAACTGCAGGTGACCTAAGTTAAAATTGTTTTGCTGGATCCTGGGGATTTCATATTTCCCAACCCCTTTCCTGGCTGGGTGCCGTTACGTCTCTAGTATCTACTTTTCTTGGGGGAAGAATTCTTGTAAAAACTCAGTCAGACCTGGTTATACACAGTCAGTATTTCCTTGTATAGAAAAAATCAGCAGATCTTCATTTTCTCGTTTCCTGCAGAGACGTGCATAATCTCCCACAGTATGCAGAAGCTCCCTGTCCCAGCCTTCCTGCCGGGCCTGCAGGCCTCGAGGAAGACAAAGGTGAGTGAGGTGCCTTATCCTTGCTCCAGATGCCAGCCAGGTATCTGTGTTGCACTGTGTGCCTGCACGTTTGAGAAGACAAGCGGTTTGGGTGCAACAGGGCCATTGCCCCAGCACCCTCGTCGCCATGTCATTGGGCTTTTGTGCAGCGGGAAGACACTTGCCTCTGGATTGGCATCGTTCGGGGCCTCTGACCTCAGCTGCCCCCTCTGCTCTGATCTGACGCTGCGCTCCTTCCTGCGGCCCCTCTACCGGGGTGGTGAGGGGGCGGGGAGCCGCTGCGCTTAACTCGTTTAACTCACTTTCCCAGTCTGAGGAGGCAGTGGCGAGGCCAGATGGAGAGCGTACCACGGGGACAGGCCCCACATCTTAGCCTACTTCAGTTTTCCCTCTCCCCTCCTCTCCTACCTGACCTGGCTCAGAAGCCCGCTAACCCGCTCCGCAGCCTCAGCGACCAGCCTCAGGCCTGCACCAGGCTTGAGACCAGAAGCCCAGCTCCTATGGGCCTGTGCCAGCTGGGGGAGGACCGCAGCCCGGGAGCCTAGAAATGGGGGGTGTGTTGGAAGGAGGCCCCACTCCCACCTAGGATTCTGGGAGGTCAACTCCAGTTCCCTCTCATTTTTCTTCTCTCGTTTCTCCTTTACCCTTCTTTGCCTTTGTCCGTGTCTCCCAGTTAAGTCAGGGTGAGCCTGATTTCACTCTCCGTGGCACCGTTTAGCTTTCATACGTATACTTGCTTTTGCTTATGTGAATTATGCTGATTCAGAAGCTGCTCTGCACATTGGAGCAGGGTAACTCTGAAAGCACAAGGCTTCTGTGTTGTTCTCTGGATACATTTTGGAATTGCTGTCAAATTATGAACAGAAATGAATTATTCGTGAGTTGGATCTAATAACTAGTCCAGGAAAAATAAACATTTTCGATTTTAAAAAACCCTTAAGGTCAGTACTTGGCTGAGGCAGGATTTGGGTGAGGTTGAGATGGTGCTCCCTTTTCCTTTGAGCTGATAGAAAATTCAGTTAATGGGAAAAATCAAAAACTATGTCAAAATAGATACTTCTCAACATGTCATTCTGTCTTTGTATTTGTTGTCACTTGGAATTATAGGTCATCTAGTGTCTTAGTCTACGTCTCTATGCCTGTGTATTTCCAGTGCCTTTCACCTTGTCCTTGTCAAAATCTGCACTTACCTTTTGATCACATGTTAGAATCCTTGGTTAGGCCCTAAAGTCACTAGAGAAGTGACTTTGTTCTCAGTTACTGTCTCCAAAGCATTGGTCCTGCCCTTTTTTTTTTTTTGGGTCTGTCACCTCCCGTACCTGCGAGCTTTAACCGTCACCCGGCCTTGCTTCCTCCATCCCTTAGATGGAGTTGCTTCCTTGCCTCCTGTCCCTTTACTGCATTCACCTCCCAAAGCCTCAGTCACATCTCAGATGGATCAGATGTCCCCTCGGTGAGGCCTTCGACTGCCCCGTGTTTGTCATCATGGCACTTAGTCTGTCGGCCATGCTCTGCTTCTCACTTCCGCTGTCTGTTGTCTTTCTCGGCTCACTTGTATGTAAGACCGTTTGCTACTGTGTCCTTGGTGTCTTATAGCAGGCCCTTGCAGAAAGCAGGCCCTCAAATGCTTGTCGAGTCATTAAAATGATCTTGTAGTAAAGCTTAAAGCAGTATGTTCTGTTTCCACTTTATATTCTGAAAAACCCTCCTGGAAGGGGCCCGGAAGGCAGCCGTGTTCAGTGTGTGTGACATGGGGCTGTTGTCTGGAGGGAAGGGACGTGGCTGGTCCTGCAGGGAGGGCTGAGGGGGAAGAAGGGGGACCAGAGGCCTTGTTCTCTTCCTTAGGTCTTTACCCCCCTGGAGACCTGTGGCCCGCGCAGCCCATGTGTGTGGCAGGCGGCTTCAACTGCACTCTGGAGAACACGGTGCCCAGCCTGATGCAGGGACCAGCCCCGGTTCATAACAGGTACAAGGTCTCTTCGCGGACTGCAGCCTTGCTTAGCCCGTGGGCGTGGGGCGGGAATCTGAGTCCCATCTGTTAGCTACAGAATCGTGAGCAAGGCTCCTT